ATAGTGGTCCTTATTTCTTAACCAATATTATATGCTCTATTTGCTTTGCTTTAGAAAACGACTGATTACTAATAGAACATTTTATATTTGTAATTTAATAATTTAAAATGAGCCTCTAGGCTAATCTTTTAGCCATGTTTTTAAAGGAAAAAAAGGTTATAATTTGATGAAATTACTCAAACCAAGAACATCATTTTTCCTTTTTTCGTATGTTGACATTGAGCAATATCAAACTCTCCTGCCCGAAGTTACTCTCATTTGTCTTAAAATTAAAGGCTGAGACCTTTACTCTTTTGTCACAAAAAAAAAAAAAATACTCCATTTATTTTTGAATAATTATCTTTTTTTCTAAAATTTAAAATTTGAGAATAATTTATATATATTTACTTATATTACTCTTTAAAAAAAAGGTTATAATGTGATGAAATTAGTCAAGCCGAACACATCATTTTTCCATTTTTCGTATGTTGACATTGAGCAATAGCAAACTCTCCTGCCCGAAGTTATTCTCATTCATCTTAAAATTAAAGGCTGAGACCTTTACTCTTTTGTCACAAAAAAATGCTCCATTTATTTTTTAATAATTATCATATTTTTTAAAATTAAAATTTAGGAATAATTTATATATTTACCTATATTACTCTTAAGAAAGAGAAAGATAGAGACAAAATTTTCGGTGATAAAGTAAAGAATTAAAATTAAGCGATAACAATAAGGTTAAAGTAATATATATTTATTTATTTTCTTTAAAAATGAAAAAACAAATAATTTACGACTAATTTTGAGTAAAAACAAGATAATTATTTTTGAGACAAAGGCATTAGCATATATATATATATATATATATTTTAAACTTTTTGTCTAGATTAACTAATTACATTTTTACCTATGATACCTTTAAGAAATTCAAAGATATAAAAGAGAGACCATGAGTTGGAATGGATAATTAAAGTTAAGGGAAAACAATATACAGTAAAAAAAAGAAGAAACTATTTATTTATTTTAAAATATGATAAAATAAAAATTAATCTAAAACAATACAAAAAAAAAAAAAATTGAAATACAAAAAATAATATAAAGATTTAAACCTTGACCGTCTGACGATAAGGGTCAAGTATGTAACTCATCAGGTGGCTTGTCTTGCACGTATACCACATCAATAATTGGTCTTTCACCCATATGCTTTATATCAGAAAGTACTGAAACCACAATTAATGTTGGTTGTCGTCAAGTTGACCACTCATACACATTAATCACGTCAATGAATGATAATATCGGGCACATGTGTAGTTACGTCGGTGAATTTACATGGGTAAAACTCAACTCTTCCGTAGTGAGTTTTTGATTTTTTTCTTCAAATTAAGAATTTAGTGGTAATTTATATTTTCACATATATTACGCTTAAAAAAAGATAAAGATAAAAGGAAGGCCTTTTTATAATAAGATGGATAATTAAAATCAAGAGGTAATGATAAGAGTAAAGTAAAAAAACAAAAAATTTATCTCCCTTAAAATATGAAAAAAAAAAACAATGAATTTTGGAAAAATTCTAAATAAAAGAACATTTATTAATTTTAGACAAAGGAAGTATAAGATTTGATATTGTTTTTACAATGGTAAGATGGTCTACAGAATCTAGAGCAATAGAAGGCAAACAATGTAGGAAGTGAGGGTGGAAAAGATATTGTTTCCTTAATATGCCCCTACAGGACGGAGTTATTGTCAATAACTCCAATCTTGGACCATATGTGTGGATGCCAATGTGAAGATAACCGTTTAATCAATCAATCAGCAAGCTAATTGCAAGAGGCAATGTGAGAAACTCAAAGAATGTTCTTGTCATCCAATTCATGAATGAAATGCAAATTAATAGCAATGTGTTTTAATTTTTAATGGAGTACAGGATTGTTGCTTAGATGAGTCGCACCTATGTTATCATAGAAAATAGTAGGAAAAGTAGGAATCAAGAGACCTAACTCAATGAGAAGCTGGCATACTATTAATAGTAAAAAATAGGATAGATGGTGTGGAACATCTTTGTTGAAAGAGAGAGTTTACAATGAAGAGAGAATGATGATGATAAATAATCTACCTCCTTGGGTTGATCCTAGAGGTATTTATAGGGTACCTAATTACAGTTATTCTAGGAATACAATTTTATTTAATTGGTATTTGGGTATTCTTATTCTATTGGGATTTATCCTATTCTTACTTTGATAGGACTATCTCTAGAATGTCTCCACGTGTCCTAATTATCATAGGACTTGATTTAGGGTATAACATTTGCCCCCCAACGAAGAAGTTTGAGAATAGTGAAAACTTCAACGGGTGTCTGTCTTTTTATTGCTCTGTTGATCTTGGTTTTGAATTCTGCATAGGTTCCCACTTTTTCAACTGTGACTGCCTCGTTAAAAACATTAACTAGAAAAAACCCTATGGGATAAAAATCTAGCTTAAGGAAAAAAGAGTGCAGCATAGGTTTTTCCTTCATGATTCTTGATGTAGTTTCCTCATTAAAAAATTTCTGTTGAAATTAATTGTTCTGCAAATTTGTGCTGATTTGTTTAGGTCCTTTCTTGATTTTTCCATATATTCACGGCTGCATTTCCTAGATTTTTCTACTTCTTGGCAGTAATTTTTATGCACGTGGCCCCCATTGTATGGCTTTTCGGTACGGCAGGTCTTTTTGGTTCAAACCCCTATTTTATTGGGATTTTATGCAATTTATCCTTTTGGCTAGATGGGGCTTTCTTTGAGTTTCTTGATTCTTCCTTTTCTTTTTTGTTTAACCTCTTGATATCTTTTTGTTTTCTCTTGGGTTTCCTGATTCTTCCTTTTCTTCTTTGTTTTCTTCTTTTTGAGAAAGATTTCTTTGATTTTTTGATTTGATCAAGCTGGTTATCTTGTGATGGCCGTTAATCCCTCTGCTTCCAGTTCTATTCCGACTTTTGCTTTCGGCTCTGTTTCGGTCTTTGCTTCCGGCTCTGTTTCAGTCTCTGTTTTCGATTGTGTTCTGATCTCTGCTTTTGGCTTTGTTTCAATCTATGCTTCTGGCTCTGTTTCAATCTCTGCCTCCAGTGGTTCTTCCATTGATGACGCGGGTATCCTTCTCTCTCCTTTTGAGCCGGAACTCTTTGATATTTTCTACCTTCCCCTTAATGCAGATGGGAAGTTTGTTGTGAAGGGTGCTTAACACCATGTGGAGAGGGATCCTGTGGTTCCTTCTATTCCTACAGAGGTTCTTTTGGTTTCTTCTTCGAAGGGTGGAAAAGTTGTTCTCCCTTTAGGCTTGACAAAGGTGTTCTGTGATCTTGACAAAGTGTCTTGGGTTATCAGTAGTTGTGATGTGGATGAGATTAAGGAGATTTATAAAAAGAACTTGATAGATCCGCAGGTTTTTCTTCCTCAACATCTTGTGGGCCGTGCGGCATTTCAATGCCTTCCTCCTGATATGTGTGTGTACAAGGATCAATTTGCATGTGGGTTGTGTTTTCCTTTGCATATTTTTTTTTCTTGAGATTTGTGATGAATTCTCCATTAGCCTTCCCCAATTGGCTCCTCGTGCTATTGCTTATATTGTTGCTTTTATTGTGAGATGTTTCCTTCTCAGGATTACACCTACCTGTGAGCTTTTTTGTTTCTTTTTTCACTTAAAAACTATTAAGCCCACTGGTAGTTGGTATTATTTTTCACGTAGAGTGCTAGAGTTTCAAGGTGTGGATGATAAAAAACGTCTTCGGGGTAATATTGTCTTTGTGGACCCCTTGCCTGGTTATGATTCCAATAATTGGCATAAGAGGTTTTTCTTCTTGAGTGCCCCTAAAGATATTGATTTTCCTTCTCTCTTGCGGGTCCCTTATACTACTATTGCTGAGGTTTTGCTTTTGGTAGATGATTATAAGTCTATCCATAAGTTTGTTACCAAACCATATGTGAGCATTGCAGAGTTGATTGTTCGTGAGAATTTAATTGAGGCGGGTGTCTGGGTTCCTGGTTCCTGTGACTCTTACTCTGATTTTCCTGTTCCTTTTGTTCCTTCTGGCTTTGAGGCTTCTTAGAAGCCTAAACGATCCTTAAAACGAAAAACTGGTGAAGGGAGTCCGACTGTTATTCCTAGTTCTTTTCTTGGTTCAGCTGTATCTTTTTTCCTTCTGCTTGGCTTTTCTTGATATTTTCTTGTTTTTTTTCTCTTTTAGTTATATTTATTTTGTATGTTTTAGGTGGCATAAATACCTTAGCTATTTTGAGTCATTCTGCCAAGATTGAAAAGCTCGAGAAGGTTGATGGAGCTGTGAAGATCGAAAATATTGGCTGAGAAAGTTGAGAAGGTTGCTGGTAAGTCTAAGGGGGTTGTTCCTCAAGGGGCGCCTTTAGTTGTGAGGAGGTCTAAGAGATTGAAAAGTGCTTCTTTTAAAGCAGCTTCTGCGGGTGGTTCTGATAAGGATGTGGTGGAGGGTTGTGTTATTGAGGTTGATAAAGAGGCTCCTTCTTCTTTTGTTTTTCCTGATGATGAGTTGCAACAGTTCTCTTCGGAGGGGAGACTCTTGATTTCTTCTTTTATGGACTTTATTGCTGGGAAAAGCTTTTCTAAACCTTTGACGAGGTTGCCTTTGAAAGATGTCGTCCACCCCGGTATGTCTTTCTCTTTATTGTCCTTATGTTAATTTTCTTTCTTTGTTGGTTATTGTACCTTCCTTCTTTGTGCAGGTTATGATATCGACTTAAAGGGTCCTTCCATTATTGGGCATAGTTCCATTGCCCGCGAATCTTCTAAATCCATGCTGTTGGCTGGTGATAAAAAATTGCTTTCAAATTTTCCTTTGGAGGCTCTTCATGACATGGTCGTTCATCATTCTGCTAGTGTATGTGTCTTTCCTTCTTTTCTGTGGTTGATCCATTGTCTTTGTGCTATTTTATCTTTAATGTCTTTCTTTGCTCTTGTGTTTTAGGTTTGTGCTGTACTACAGCATATGAAGGAAATTCTCCTGGATAAGGAAGATTCGTCTTACTGTTCTGCTGCTGATTTGTCTAAGATGCAGGAGAGGAGTAAGGATCTATTAAACTTGTGCAGCCAGCTCCACTCTGAGAAAACAACATTGGGAGCTAATTCTATCGAAGTTGAGAGGTTGAAGAAAGAGCTAACTATGCTCCAAGAATGTTATGATTTGTTGAAGAAAGAGAAAGAACTTTTCTCTTTTTCTACTGCTGTTGAAAAAGCGTCTTTGGAGTCCTTTGTTTTGGCTTTTCAACGGTGGTTGGGTGATCTTTCTTCTGCAAATTCTACTTTGGAGAGGTCCATCTCAGATCTAAAGGTGCAGGTTTCCTCTCTACAAGCTTCGTCTTCCTCCATCGTTTAGTCTTTTAAGGAGTCTCATGAAGGTAGAGCCTTCACTCTTTCTGGTAGCTTAGGTTATTTTAATCTTGTTGTCAAGCTTATCAAGATGCTGCTCCCTTGTCATGGGCTGATTGTGTCTGACCATCTTCCCAAGTTTGAGGATATGGACATTGCTGCATTGATTCATGCTGATCCGAAATTGAAGAGAACTTATTATCGGGGTCCTAGTGCTATTTTTTTGGATGATTCTCCTAGGTAGGCATTTGAAGGTACTGGTAGCTTCTGGGATGTGGGAGATTCTACCATAGTTGTCTATAGAAGGGGTAGCTCTGTTGATGCGGAGGTTTCACAGGGTGCCTCCCCTTCTTCGCCTACGTAGCGAGTCTGTTTTTTTGAGAACTGTAGATATTATATTTTTCTATTTGTTGTGGACTTGTTTTTGTTTATCTCGGGTTTTTTTCATGCCTTGCATATGTTTTTTATGAGACTATATATATGGAAAATATGTTTTCTTATATTCTGAAATTTGCCTTAACCTCTGTGGTGCATCTTGCATAGCTTTTGCTTGGGTATTTATGTACACCCAAACTTGCTCACAGCTTTTTTCTTATCTGTGTAACTTCTGCTTGGGTATTTATGTACACCTAAACTTGCTCGTAGCTTATTGTTTGCATAACTTTTGCTTGGATATTTATGTACATCCAAACTTGCTCACAGCTTTTTGCTTGTTTGTGTAACTTCTGCTTGGGTATTTATTGTACACCCAAACTTGCTCACAGCTTTTTTGCTTGCGTAACTTTTGCTTGGATATTTATGTACATCCAAACTTGCTCGTAGCTTATTGTTTGTCTGTGTAACTTTTGCTCGGGTATTTAATGTACACCCAAACTTGCTCACAGCTTTTTTGCTTGCGTAACTTTTGCTTGGATATTTATGTACATCCAAACTTGCTCATAGCTTATTGTTTGTCTGTGTAACTTTTGCTTGGGTTTTTAATGTACACCCAACCTTGCTCACAGATTTTTTGCTTGCGTAACTTTTGCTTGGATATTTATGGATATTTATGTTCATCCAAACTTGCTCGCAACTTATTGTTTGTCTGTGTAACTTCTGCTTGGGTATTTAATGTACACCCAAACTTGCTCACAACTTTTTTTTGCTTTTTGCTTGTTTAAGCATATTTTTGTTTTACTTGGATATTATGTATTTGCTAAATTTCACATTTTATTAAGATAAAAGTCATAATATTGATGGAGAATAATTTATAAGATTACTTTCCTTTGCTTACTGGTAGTATTTCTTAAGGTGCGCAGCATTCCAGGTCCGTGGGATTATAGCTCCATTGGGACGTATCAACTTGAAGGCTCCGTTGCCTAAATCTTCCTTGATGAAGTATGGTCCTTCCCAGTTTGAGCGCAGCTTTCCTTCTCGGGAATTTCTTTCTGAGACCTCTATTTTTCTTAGTACCCAATCTCCTTTGCATAGGTTTTTAGGTTTTACCTTACGGTTGTAATATTTTTCTGCTTTTCTATGGTAACTTGCCATTCGTATTTGTGATAAGCTCCTAACTTCTTCTAGCAGATCTAGGTTGGCTCTTAAAGTCTCTTTGTTTTTGTGTTCGTTGTAATGGCTGGCTCTATGCGTTGAAATTCTGGTTTCTACTAGAATCACTGCTTCTGTTCCGTATGTTAAATTGAATGGAGTTTCACCAGTGGATGTGCAGTACGTGGTTCTATAGGCCCATAATGTGTATGGTAGTTCCTCTATTCATGTGCCTTTTGCCTTTCCTACCTTCTTTTTCAGGCTATCTAATATGATTCTATTGGCAGCTTCTGCCTGTCCATTTGATTCTAGGTAAGCTACTAAAGCAAATCTCTGCTCAATTTGTTTTGGTGTTTTTCTTTCGTTTTCTAGCTGAGCTTTGATTGTGAATCGTCTCTCTAGATTCTGTGCTTGACAGAATTCTTTGAAAGATTCGCTTGCACATTGGGTCCCATTGTCCGTGACTAGGATTTTTGGTGTTCCAAACCTACATATGATGCATATTTTTACAAACTCTTCTATTTTTTATTCCATTATTCTGGCTACAGCCTTGGCTTCTACCCATTTCGTGAAGTAGTCTATTGCGACTATAAGGTACTTCTTTTTTCCTTTTGCTTCTGGGAAAGGCCCAAGGATGTCCATCCCCCATTTTGCGAAAGGCCATGGAGCTGTTACCATATGCAGAGGGTTTGAAGGTTGATGTTGCATTCGAGCAAACCTTTGGCATTTGTCACACCGCTTGACGTATTCTCTTGTATCCATCTTCATGGTTGGCCAAAAATATCCTTGGCGGAGGATTTTGTATGATAGTGATTCTACTACTCTATGGTTAGAACATTCTCCTTTGTGAATTTCTTCCATTATAGTTTTTGCCTCGTTGGGTGTCAAATATTTGAGCCATGGCTGTGTGTATGATCTTCGATAGAGATGATCACCAAGGATTGTATACCATGTTGCTTTTCTTTTCAATTTCTGTGCTTCTTTCTTGTCTTCAGGTAGATCTCCATTAGATAGGTATCTTTTGATTGGATTCATCCAGGTTACTTCTTCTTTTTCTATCTCCAGGATTTCTTTTTCAAATATTGAGGGGGAGCTCAATTCTTCAACGTATATCTCTTTTCCTGACTCTGTGACTCCTGAACTTGCTAGTTTGGCCAATGCATCAGCTTTTGAATTTTCGGTTCTTTTTATATAGTGCATTTCGTATCCTTTTAAATGGTTTAAGGAGCTGTGCAGCTTTTTCCAAGTATTTTGTCATAACTGTTTCCTGAGCGTTAAAATCTCCTTTTACTTGGTTTACTACTAATTGTGAATCACTAAATATTTTTATGTATTCTGCATTCACAGCTTTTGCTAACCGAAGTCCTCCCAGTAGAGCCTCGTACTCTGCTCTATTGTTGGATGCCTCAAATGTAAATTTTAGTGTGTATTCAAAGGTTTCTCCTTCTGGTGATGTCAGTATGATTCCTGCGCCACTCCCATTTTCACTTGATGATCCATCAACATGGAGGATCCAGCAAAGGTTTGGTGGTATTACCCTTGCTTGCTATTCTTCTATTTTTGATGATTGTCGTTTTGCTAGGGGTGTTGGCAAAGGCGTGTCAAGTGCAGCTTTTTCTTCCTTACTCAGTTCTACTATGAAATCTGCCAAAATCTGAGCTTTTGTATCTTTTCGTGGTTGGAATTCCACATCAAATTCTGTAAGCTCAATGCTCCATTTTACCAGCCTTCCTTCTAAGTCTGGTTTGTGCAATACATGCCTCAATGGATACTTGGCAAAGACTATAATTTTGTGTCCCAGAAAGTAATATCTGAGTCTTCTGGCTGCTATGATTACTGCATATGCTAGTTTCTGTAAAGGTGCGTACCTCTTTTCTGGTTCTTGCAGTACTTTGCTTACGAAGTACACAAGTTTTTGCCTTTTTTGTTCTTGCCTGATTAAAGCTACGCTAATTGCTTCTGTTGTTGCCGCTATGTATAGGAATAATGTCTCTCCGGGGCTAGGCTTGCTAATCAAGGGTGGTGATGCCAAGTATGTTTTTAATTGTTCAAAAGCTTTCTGGCAGTCTCGTGTCCATTTAAAGTTTTTCTTCCCTTGCAGGATTTTAAAGGTAGGTAAGCACCTTTTTGCAGATTTTGATAGAAATATTCCCAGTGCCACAATTTTTCCCATAAGGTGTTGTATTTCTTTTATTGAAGCTGGGGGTTTCATTTCTATTATTGCATGCACCTTTTCTAGATTTGCTTCAATACCTTTGCTGGTCAACATGAAGCTTAAAAATTTTCCAGCCCTTACACCGAACGTACATTTTAGAGGGTTGAATTTCATGCCATATTCCTCTAGTATGCTGGAAACTTGCTCTAAGTCTTCAAGATGTTGATCTAGACTTTTGCTTTTTATTATTAGGTCATCAACATATACTTCTACGCACTTTCCTTTCAACAACACAAAGATTTTGTTTGCAAAACGCTGGTATGTTGCACCTGCATTTTTTTGGCCAAATGGCATCACTGTGTAGCAGTATGTTTCTCTTGCCGCGATGAAAGCTGTTTTGTCTTAATCCCTTTTTGCCATTGGGATTTGGTTGTATCTGGAATAAGCATCACAAAAGCTGAGTACTTCATATTCAAAGGAATTGTCCACTAACTCATCTATGTTAGGTAATGCACAATTGTCCTTGGGGCACACCTTATTAAGGTTAGTGAAATCAATGCACATGCGCCGTTTTCCATTTGCCTTTTTTACCGTGACGACATTAGATAACCACTTACAGAAGTTTATTTCTTTTATAAATCATGCTTCTTTTAATTTCTCTATTTCTTCCTTTAGAGCTGCGGTTCTTTCGGCTCCAAATTGTCTCATCTTTTGCCTGACCGGCACAGCTTTTGGGGGTACCCCGAGCTTATGGCATGCGATTTTAGGGTCTATTCTAGGCATGTCAGCTGCACTTCCTGTAAATATACCTTCATGCCTTTTTAAGCATTCTTCTAATTTTGCGATAAATTCTGGGTCCATATCTGCTTCTACATTCGTTGTTTTGTCTAGATTTTTTGAGGTGAGTACCACAGATTTGGTGCGATTAATGGGCTCTGCTCGTTGTTTTTTTATACCTTCTCGTGCATCCATTGTATCTACAGTCAACGCTTTTCTTCTCAGGATGTCACTTGTTGCAATTAAATCCCAGGCTCAGGACTTAGGATGTAGTTTTTGGGCTTCTGATTGTTCAAAGAGTTGTGCTGTGACAGTTTCTTGAATTTCTATGGATCTTCCTCTTGCTACTCCAATACCTTTTGGCGTAGGAAATTTGATCATCATGTGGCTTGTAGAGATTACTGCTTGTAATGCATTCAATCTTGGTCTTCCTAAGATTGTGTTAAAAGAGCATGGTATGTCTATGACAAAGAAGTCCAAAGTTACCACAGCTTTTTGAGAGGTATCACCAACATGGATAGGTATTGTAATGATTCCCACTACTGGCACCTCTTTTCCAAACAGTCTTACTAACGGGAATTCACAAGGTCTCATAAGTTGTGCTAAGAATCCCAACTTTTTGAAAACTTCATGTGTAAGTATATCTCTGCAACTTCCTATGTCTACTAATACTTTTTTTAATATTTTTCCTTGCCGGAGGTTTCTGTCTTGAACTATTACTTGTATCATTAAAGGTTCATGAGGATATACTTCCCTTTATTGCAAGTCTTTTTCCGTGAAGCTGATTACCTCGCTTTTTCTTAAAGAATTCTTTGCTTCCAGTGTTACTAATGGGGTTTTCTCTTTGCTGCGTACTTCATATGGTAAGCTTACGATGTTAATGGTCCCCACAACTTCTAGTGGCTATTATTCTTCTTTCTCTTTTTCTCTAGGCTTTTTGTGCTGATCTTTCCTATTCTTGTTACTGTCGTTTGTTTTAATGAATTGCCAGAGTGCTCCTCGTCTTATTAACCTCTCAATTTCTATTTTCAGTTGTCTGCATTCTTCTGTATCGTGTCCATGTTCTCCATGAAAGGCGCAAAATCGTGTCTAATCTCTTCTGGTTAGGTTACTCGCCATTCTAGCCGGCCATTGCAGCTTCTCTGTTTTCTTTGCTACATTGAAGACCTCTGTCCTATTGGTGTTTAAAGGTGTGAGTGTTGTGTATCCCACAAATTCTCTTTGTGTCCTGGGGTGTCTATCCCTCAAGTTGTATCTTGACTGTTTTTTGTCTTTGGTACTTTTATTATCTATATCTTTTTCTATTTTTCGCTTTCTTCCTTCTTTTGAATTTGATGCTTTTTGTGCCTCTTTTACTGCTGCCCTTTCTTCTACTCTAATGTATCCTTCCGCCCTTCTTAAGAGATCATTAAGGCTGGTGGGCTCTCGTTTGTTCAAAGATTTATAGAAACTTGAGTCTTTGAGTCCGTCCATTAGATCATGCATTGCCATGCTTTGGTCCAATCTTTCTACTTGCACAGCTTCGTTGTGAAATCTTGCTATGTAGGCTCTTAGTGACTCTCCTGTTTTTTGTTTAATTATTAAGAGATGATGGTTGGTCTTTCGAGGAGCTCCGTTGGCAGTGGAGTGATTGATGAACATATTCGCAAATTGATCAAAGGTCTGGATAGATTTTTTTGGTAATGTTGCGAACCAAGCCTACGCAACTTTCTTGAAAGTTGTTGGGAATCGCTTGCATAATAGAGAATTCGAGGCTCCATATACCATCATTGCCATT